CAGGCTTATAGTTTTCAAGAAGATGTCGAAAAAGTAAAACATTGACACGGACGACGGACGACGACGGACAATCACTCATATGATAAGCTCCGCTCGGCAAAGTCGACAGCGGAGCTAAAAAGTCAGGAGGGACAACAGTGACATTCAATGTCCGGAACTGTCGCCTGGCACACAAAAAAATATTTAAAAAAATAAATAAATAAATATTCTATACTGTCGAGAAACAAAATAGTGCTTGTGTATTACCAATGCGTTTTGAGACGGTCAACGTGATCTACACTGTGTCAATAAAGGGTGCTCAATTCACCAAACCAACAAATCAAAGAAATTAGAAATGTGATAACATTAATCAAATGATTATCAGCCTCTTCTTAAAAAAACACGTTTTATTGATGTTCATTGATACTGTCGATGTTCAAAGGAGATTTAAATTGCCTTTTGCACTTACCAGATACAAGAATAACTTTTGTTACTGTTTCGTCAAAATAGTTTTGTTGTTTTGATTGGGAAATGCATAACTCGACATATGACAGGCTGTTCAATTGTTCACAAAAATGGTGAAAAGTATTACAGTTGACAGGCACACTTACTCCGCTGATCTAGTTTTTGGGAAAACAATCTCTTGATATTGAGGTGAACGTGTTTATCCGTTCAAAATGATATGACGAAACGTGAAGTAGCTTCTTTAATTGTACTACGAGTATACTTTTTTTCTTTCCTTCAATGTTTCAATAACTACAATTACACCAAGTAGTATTTACGACTTGTGTGGGTTACGTAATGCTAAGTTGGCCGCGTATATCACACTCGTCATGTCTGTACGTAATGCTAAGTTGACCGCGTATATCACACTCGTCATGTCTGTACGTAATGCTAAGTTGACCGCGTATATCACACTCGTCATGTCTGTACTTAATGCTAAGTTGACCGCGTATATCACACTCGTCATGTCTGTACGTAATGCTAAGTTGACCGCGTATATCACACTCGTCATGTCTGTACGTAATGCTAAGTTGACCGCGTATATCACACTCGTCATGTCTGTACGTAATGCTAAGTTGACCGCGTATATCACACTCGTCATGTCTGTACTTAATGCTAAGTTGACCGCGTATATCACACTCGTCATGTCTGTACGTAATGCTAAGTTGACCGCGTATATCACACTCGTCATGTCTGTACGTAATGCTAAGTTGACCGCGTATATCACACTCGTCATGTATGTACTTAATGCTAAGTTGACCGCGTATATTTCACTCGTCATATGTCTGTACGTGACCACTATTACGCGAAACGTCGCTGACAATAAATACGTTGCTCCGCGACTTTCAAATGCACAAATGTTCGTTCCTTCGTATATCTCAACAAAAACTGACGAATTGTTAAACTATATTGTCTGCAAAGGGAGCTATTATAGTATGTGAAGATCGCCAGTACAAATAAAAAAATGAGTTATCATAAAACAATAATGCCCTACATAGATTCAATATGTGAAGTAAAATTCAAATCCAAATTATTGACACTTTTTTAATTATAAATAAAAATTCATTCCCGAAATGTGAAATAATCTCGCTGTACTTTGGCACATTGTACTTCCAGTTGAAGCAATTAATTCGATACAATAGTGACTGTCATACATATATAATGGCCGTTAGTGAAACAAAATAAAAAATAGCATTATTAAAAAAATGTTTGTATTAACTATATTACTCACCAAAAAAGAGTTATTTTCCAAAAAACGTATTGTTGGCAACCCCTTTGCAGTTATGGTAATTGCCACCATCCTGGTAGGAGGTTTGTTCGGCTTATTGCGCCCACGGAAATCAGCTGAGATTTTAAATCGAGGCTCTGTTGAATGGCAATCCTTGACAAGAACATAGTTACAGAAGCCTTGGAAGTCGTATTTCAGGGCGTCAAACGTTGTCATGTGTGGATCCCCATACCCCCCAGGAGGTGGGGTCGGGGGTTGAGTTGTAGGAGGTATGCTATCTGTTGATTTAATATACGAAACAATACTCATTTACAAATTGTCTGTCAGTTCCGGTAATAACTTGAGATTGTCATGTTTCCTGGCCCGTTTAATGCCAACAATCTCGAAATTAAGGAGCTCTTGGGAAAATCTGATTACATCTCGAGTCCCGCCCACTGCACACTATTGCAAGACGTACTGTTTGACTTGCTTGTATAAATTATAATTGGTTACTTAGAGAAATATATTTGTTTGGAACATTTTCCCCACTGTATAGTTTATGTGTATAGCACATTTTTTATATATATATATATATCGTTTTTTGTGCCGAATTATTTAATTATATGATAATACATCATGTTTAAACACCAGTATATGACAACAAAACACCAGACTTTGTAGTTAAATACACCAAGTATGAATTTTCCTAAAAAAATCTCTATAAGCAATTTATGTTTGACCCCTGATCAACTCAAAAACGTAAGTGAGGATAACAGTAATTTCATAATAATTAATCTTTGGGAATTCTCCATTCTAAGTGCCTTGTAATATGTTGCGAGTCAGCCGTAAGCTTCTCGTATCACTTAAAGCGGGAGGGTCGTCACTTGCGCACGCGCGGGAAAGCCTACCAGTGCGTGATATGGACGCACATACTATTTTCCCCAGAGATTCTAGAGCACGCCTTATACGAAGGAGAGTGAAACAGATTGTTTGGCCATCAAGTTTTTATTGTATCGAAATTTAGTCTCTGTATCTATACTTACATCATGTACTACCGCCAAATAGAACATTACTATCTAATTTAATTTGGGGTGTTACAGATACGTTAGTAGAGCCATTCTCCAAAATAATACAAGTATGGTTACAACAACAAAAACTTACCGCAATCAACGAAATCACAATATGCAAATGCACCGGTGATGTTGCTTGTATAGCACCACGGTTTGAAGTCGTTATCTGGATTACGACAGTAAGCATTATCTTCTCCCTCTAGGCCTTTATTAGGATAGGTTGTAGGGTTAATTAAAAAGTTAACATTGGATGACCAAACCAAGCAAGGCTTCCCATTAGCTATGCCAAACGTTCCACGATAATCTGTTCCAGTTGGGCCATTGTAGCAGTCTGCAAAAACATATTATCATCACTTGGATGAATATTTAGGGTTTCGTGGGAGTTTCATCGCATATAGATGAAAATAACAGAGGTAATAAGACATTGTAAGCGTTTGGTGTAATTGGTTAATTGTAATTTTCAGATAGCGATGGGGATAAAGTGTATATAATTGTGTGAAATCATATTTTTTATTCGGTCTCGGTTGCACGATGTCATCACCAGCACATTTTATATGTACCGGTATATATTTTGATAATACTCTAATTATTTACCCAGCTTAGTTTATCATTATCTTCATCACTTTTCTATGCACCAAATTAGAAAAGTTACATTTTTACAATCGTATTTATCTGTATACTACTTCCATGTGAGTATCGCCGGAATTGCATTCATATCAGAATAAATACAACAGCGTCCAGATTACTTTCGAAAATTCCGTCGCGATTCAGAAAGTTTAAATTTTCACTTTTGAATATTTATTTGTTCTTTTAGGTTAGTGAGAATGGGTTATGATAATTTTTCATTTCACTTTAACACTGTTTTTTTTTCACCTCTCAGATCCCATTAAAATGTCACTTCTGGCCATTATAATGCCCATTATTATTTTAATGGTCAGAATATCGACCAGAATTTTTTTTAATGGCCAAATGTGTAGCAGCATTTTTAAAACTGGTAGTTATAATGACCATTATTTTTATACTGTTCAGAATAATGGCAATTTTTTTCTTCAGTGATGGAGTTGGTGACAATCTTTTTTTAATGGGCGGTATAATGATCATTTTATTTTTCATAACTTAAATAAAATGGTAATTTTTTCATGTCACAGATATAATGGCAAATGGGGATTGACAGATTAATCTTCCTCCTTTTCCTCCCTTGCTTCAGTTTTCTTCAATTTCAAGCCAGTAGAATTGTAGGTAAACGTCTAAAAATATATAGGATTTTAAAGAATCTGCAATATGAAATTGTATATCTTGAAAAACATTTTTGGATTAATTTCTTTTAAAAATTTGCAAATCATTACAACTTGTGCTCTCGATCCTGTTGTTTTAATAATATATAGTGTAATGCAATAGGTTATTAAACATAGAAGGTGACATAAAATAGAAGTTGACTCGCTTTTAAGATTCAGTATAGACCCCTAGTACAGGCTAACGAAGTGTGCATAAATATTTAGCCCAGGCTACGCAGCGAAAATACCATTGTACTCAATGTCCATTTGAAAGATAAACTACTATATATACCTATTATTTTCCGTATGCTATTCTCAAAATGACAATCAATGCAAGCACATTCTGAGATATTATTCTCAAAAGAAAAAAAATGGAGTACTACTTCCTGTTTTAAAGGCAATGTCCAGCATTATAATACCATGAACAAAGAAACAAGACATTTACTACTGAACCTTCGAACATTGCACAATCACACAAATTGCTCATCAAATGATTTTCAAAGGTGATATGTTCATGAGTAATACTATGTAACAACCGAAAAAGTAACATAAATAGAGAGTTAGTCAAAAAAGTCATAAAACAGCAAGTTATTAATCCAAAAAGAACAAAAATACTTTAACAATAACTTTTATATTTTAATGTGGCTTAGACACTCGTCATTTTGGAGTTGTGCACAAGTAACTAGGCAGTGAATGACTTGTTTGGTATTATAATGCTATACATTGTCCTTAATTTGTATTGTTATTCTCGCATAACCATAGAACTAACATGTATACCTTCCCAGTTACTGCACTGAGTAATAATAATAAAAATGATATTATTTTTAACACAAAATATAAGCATACTAGTATGCACAGAATTCGGAAAACAAGTGTTGTTGTTCCTTCGCCAGTGTTATAACTGTTGTGTCTTCGTGTGAGTGAACACAATTGGGTATAGCTGATATGCAAACATATGGAATTAACTTAAATCTTAGTCTGTACTTGATCAAATTACCACCTTTTTGTATGAAACTATTTTATAACAACATGATTAATATATTTATAATAAATTACACCAATCATAGAAATTGTTTAGTAGCAGCAAAACTTGTTAAGTTTTCTTGAATAAAGAATGCACCGATCTCACTAGGAATTCATTCAAATCTAGTACCCTCACTCCCACTCATTAAAAATTTAGTGTGCTTTAATAATGGCTCATTAAAGTACTAACTAATATTGAATTACTGAATTGGAACATACTTTATTGTAAAGTATAGTTCATGCTCTGTCCTTCTCATGTGACAGTTTAAGAAGACGTAAATTATTTAAAATCATTTTAAAAAAATATTTAAAATACGACTGAAATGTGCAGGCCCAAACTTCTGCTGCCAAAACGTCCGTCCACCCCTACATGTGCATGCAATTTTTTCTCTGAGATTTTGTAGCCAGATTATTTTTGAATAACTGAATAACACAAGTTTATTTTTACATTTCCAGATAACATATGACTATATAGTTTTATAATTCTATTAAGAACAGTGATAGAAAATTGTGTTTGAAATATTGCAATGACAGTTTTCAACCCCCCCCCCCCCCCAAATACAAAAAAAAAACTATGAAAATATTTCGCAATAGGCAAAGATAGTTTTTCGTTTCTCTTGCTTAGGCAGGATGGTGTGCAAATTTTCAGAAGCTGATATGAGTTAGTTGACAAATGTCACTTTTATTTGCAGGGGAACACGAACAAGCGATGTAAAGCGACCCTACACACTTGAAACTTTCAAAATCTTATACCTTCCGGTTTGTTGACCCAAAGTCACGCACTATGCGCAAGCATAACAACGATAAACATGCAAATGCTATCAATTTGGGAATCATCTATCTAACTTCTTCCGTCATCAACAATTTAACCTACACAGATTAATTGTCATTGTCTGCGAAAAATAATTAAGTTTGCTATTATTAACTTACAATGACCAGTTTTTATTTAATATACTTGTCCATATTCCTGTCCTCACAGCAATAGCAATGTGATCAAAATGACGTCATCGGAAATGCTAGTTAACCCCCGATGCAACTCAGATACAATATATAATACCATATTTACTCCATTACATTTGTGCATACTAAATCATGAAAATATCACTTATTTCGACCATTGAAGATGGTGCAAGTGCTCCTAATACAGTATTATGGTAAGTGTAAAACTGTTCCTATATTTTTTTCAAATTAAAGAAAATGATATTACAAAATAAAGAAAACATAATATAAGTATCATCCATTTGACCCATGGATCTTCCAAAAGTAGTGTTTACGCTACACGAAGTATGGGGCTAAGATTACTGGGGGGGGGGGGGAACAGTGGTTAGCACAGGATGAGGAACTTAATAAGAATATATAAAATCTTCGGTCATGTTAGCTATGATTGCTCAGTAGAGTAGCTAGAAAGGTATATATGTTGATTCCACATTTATAAAACAATAGAAAGGCAAATTTAGAAATAGCTGATTGCAGAATAACATGGAGTAGCACATCATCGGTTCATTTTTTCTCGAGCCAATCTTTCTCTGTGTGTTAGCCTTTATTGTAATGTTGGAAATGGCACACCGAAATGAATAGCTATAAATATAATAGTAAATCTTCCAAATAAGCATTGAATACCTTAGCGTTTTGGGCGCTTAGTCTCAGCTAAGCCCTCGGGGGTCACTTTATATGCTTTTACTACCCCATGTGCGTTCCAAATTTAGCGGGAAAGCGGGGGTGTTTTTCACCTTCTAAAGCGGGCCCGCGCGGGAAGCAAATAGGCCCCCTTTAAAATGCTAATGTTAGCAATAGGCTCCAGAAATAAACTCACAGGGTTGCTGCGCCAGCTGTAGGCCCCCTCTTGCAACAGCCACTCCCACACACCGCCATAGGCCCCGAATTGGCGGACCCATAGCCCCGACCAGGCCGCAAACGTCCGCCTGAACTTTCCCACCGGGACATTCCCGCCACTTCCAACACGAGCATGCGGAGGCTTATTGTAATCGAAGAAACGAAACAAAACAGAACGGAACGGAACGGGTTAACACATATAATAACAATTAAACTGTATTCAGTGGAAATGGGTTTTATACGCACAACATTTACAACATTTTGCTGAAAATAATATTTAAGCAATAAACCACCACCGGAGACGAAACTTGACCAGTATTTTTATTTATTTGTAATTAGGAGCTGCAATAAAATTATTGAAAAAGCACAAACTTTATGAAAAAAGAAACTTTTGAACTTAAAGTAAATACAGGAAATAAGTCTAATCTACATAATCTCTTCTATAATCCATGACATCAATAAGAAAACTTCTCACAATTCTATCAATATATTTACCTTTCAGTCATGCATTTAACACACTAAAACATTTGCCGAAAACAACGGGATTTTAATTAGTAAACGGTTCGTTTCGCTAATTAAAGATAATCGGAAATCCGCAATCACGCGGCGAGACAAGGGTCTTACAGGTACAATAATCTATAATAATAATACAATAATCACAAATATCGGACGAAACTTGAGCAGGATTTTTACCTTTCAGTCGTGTATAAAACTTCATTAAAACAATTATTAAAAGTTAAAACATTCACATTAAAACAATTATCTATAATTAGCGAAACGAATCATTCACTAATTATTTTCACTTTATTTTTATTTTCGACAAATGTTTCATGGTGTCAAATACACGACGGAAAGGCCGTCTGACAGTTGTGAATATTGTAAGTGTCAGACTCATGTTTCGCTGATACAGATTTTCGATTATCTGTAATTAGAGAAACGAGCCATATGCGTATTAAATATTATTATTTTCAGCAAATATTTTGTAAATTGTGTGCGTATAAAACCCATTTTCACTAATTACAGTTTAATTTTCATTATGTGTGTTATCCCGTTTCGTTTCGTTTCGTCAATTACAATAAACCGCATACAGAAAGTCACCCCCCCCCCGAGTCATCCACACTTCCGAAACTCCTTTCGCGCCTCGGCCTCATTCGCATTCAGCTCCTGCTATTTTCTGGGTTTTCTGCCCTGGATTCATGCCAAAGTCACTCGGAACTGAACATACAATTGCGTCACGTAATGGTATCTGATGGAATAAGAATCCTGGCAAAGTTGTGTGCATTGTGTTTTAAACTATCAAATAAATCATCATATTCACACTCATGTCAATAGTTCTCAATTTTTTTCATCAAACAACGAATGACACCAACAGGAGTTGCATACACAGTAACTCCACTTGAGTGCAAAAAGAAGAATCCTCGCAATAGAGGGTAGGATGTTCTCAATATATGTCTGAAATAGGGGGTGTTTTTTTCTTCAATATGTCTGCTTTAGGGGGTACTAAATTTACATTGCGTCCGCAATAGGGGTATGGTTTGTCCACAGTCCCTCTATCCCAATACCGTGTAAATACTAGTCACCGACCTCTGCGTTACTATGAACTTTCACAGGGGTCGAGGCAATATTCGTGTCCCTGCAAACGCCAGTGAAACATAAAATTACCACACATATATTGAACTCACACGGGGTAGCAGTTTTATCCTTTTACATTAGTGAAATGAACAAAAATAATATACTACTGTTAAAATGACCATTATACTGCCCATTTAAAAAATGTCATCAACTTTATCATTTAAACATGGGTAACTATAACCACTAGTTTAAAAATACTGGTCAATATTTTTGCAATTAAAAAAATTCGGGTCGATGTTCTGGCCAATAAGAAAAATAATGGCCAGAAGTGACATTTCAATGGGATTTGAGAGGTGAAAAAAACAGTGTTAAAAAAAAGTGAAAAATTATTATAACCTCCTCACTAACCTAAAAGTACAAATAAATATTCAAAAGTGACAATTTTAACTCTCTGAATCGCGACGGAATTTGTTGTTGTTGTATTTTTCTGATATGAATGCAATTCCGGGGACACTCAAATGGAAATAGTACTAAGAAATATTTAAAACATTTGAAAAGTAAAACTTTTCAAAACGCGACTGAATTTCCGAAAGTAATCCGGATGCTGTTATACTTATACTATATTATATTTATATGCATATATACACGTCGCTTGTTTTAGCTACATCTACGTTTCAAACAATCAACATGTATACTATATACTATGAAAACATTGAGGATACAATGTAAATCATAAACCAATTTGCCTTGTAATTGTAATCAATATGACAAAAGCCTTTGGTGTGCCATAAGCAGTAAGTACTAGTATTCAGTATGGGTATGTGTCCTTTGGATTTGACTTTCGTTTTTCCACTAGATTTATTTTCTAAATGTTTATTTAGTGAGAGTCAATTATGTCACGACAGATCTGTCTATATGCTACATTTAGAAATATATATCATGTTTTTATGTCATATTGTAATTTACCATTCAACATATTTCTTGTTCTATAAAGTGAGCGTACATATATTTTGTACAATGATATATCTTTTACAGACGGGAAATACTAAACCAATTATATATATATACATATATATATATATATTGATGGGCGTATGACAAAATAAAAAATCACCCGATTCTATGTCATAAAGTCAAATATCTTTGGTCACAACCCAACTAATGTGGCGAGAATGCTACGTCACTGGATTTCTTTGTCATAATTTTCCTTGATATTATTCAATTTTATCAAGTTTAAGTAGTTATTTATCTAGTCGAAGTTAATTAATATTTTACACAATTATTGTTACTTCTATAATACCTGACTTCCTGGGTGTATGTTCTAAGATCCATATCTCTCGTTGATGTATTGGTTCAGGAGTTTACTTATCAGTTGCGGTTCGTCTGTATTTTGTGGTTGTTTATTTTGATCTCGATTTATTTGTAAATATTCAATGAGCCTGCCTATTATTACTAATTTTGTTTGTTCATAGTATAATTAAATGCTCTCAGTGTGTATATGTCATGGATGTGTCAGTATAATGAATGCCAGTCTTCTAGAGAACCCAACCCGACCATAATATTTTCATTCCGGGTCCAGTGATGTTAAGGGAAAGTCACAGTGGTTTTATATGTGCTTAACTCTCCTGTCCATCACATTTCTCGCAAAATGTACTCACCAACAGTTCGCCTTTGCTTTGCGTGTTTGACGGCCTGAAAGACAAACGTTTCACTAGTTAATATACATTGTACGTTACAACATTCTTTCACGAATGTATAAGAAGTTTAAGTAAAATCAAACAAAAACATTAATATATTCTTACCCCGGGTTGGAGAGGGGCTAGTTTTTTGACAGCTGCCTTCCATGTGTTTTTACAAGTCACGTGATACACACTCAGCAAAATCACAACAATTGTACAAATTGATGCAGCGTTCATTCTGGAGATAAATGATTATTAATGCTTAATATTTGTGTTTGACAATGAGTTGTGTTTTACCGGATAACTTATGAAATTGTTAACTGGTGTTCACACTGAAATATAGCAAAAAGAAGGCCAACAAAGGGGGAAAACTAGAATTAAAAGTTGAAGAGATGGAAAAGTATTTAGCATTTCAACAAACAGAGGACATTGCAGAAGAGTGCCAAAAAGCTACAGATGAACTCCAAAAAGAACTAGATCATATAAACGAGGGGAGTATATGCGTGACCAATAGTATGGGTAGATCAAGGTGTGACTGGTATGAGTATGGAGAGAGAAAATAATAAATATTTTGTTATCATTGGAAAAATTAAATGATAAGACTCTCGGTAAACAAGAAGAGTTTTTTTTTGTGCCAGGCGACAGTTCCGTACATTGAATGTCATTGTTGTCTCTCCTGACTTTTTTTTATTGTGCAAATTGCAAGTGCTAGTGCTGACACATAGTGAATTTTTGACAGGGCTGTGCGGCCATCTCCCTATCAAATGGCAATTTAATGCGCTATCCTGGCGTCAACCAGGCTCGGTCGAACACAAGCACCTGCGGACCTTAACCAAGGTTCCCCCAAAGTCACATTCGTTAGTGAATAAATCTGGATTGGCCTTCCTATTGAGTCTGTGGCACACTCACCCAGGGTATGTTGATGTTCAGCCTATGATAGGATTTGAACTTGGGTCTACCGATCGAGTCTGATGCGACAAACATTATGCTACCAGTGACTGAATAAATTAACAAAGAAATTCTATGAAGATTTGTATTCAACAAAAATTCAGCCAGTGAATGAGACAAATAAAGATCAAGAAATTGTTGTTCTTTAACAATCTAGAAACTCCAAAACTAGAAACTTCCAAGGGAGGAAGCACTACAGTCAGAGGGTATGATTACATTAGAAGAAGCAGAAAGTGCACTAAAATAATTACAAAATAATGAGACTCCTGGAAATGACTGTCTCACAGTTGAATTTTTAAAAAATATTTGAGCCAACCTTAGGTCATATCTAGTTAGATTACTAAACAGCGGGTTTGAAAAAGGTGAATTTTCACCATCACAAAGACAGGGGGTAATAATTTTGCTTGCAGATATATTAAAAACTGGCGACCAGTTGCATTATTAAATATAGACTACAAGATTGGAACCAAATGTTTGGCAAGGAGAATGAACAAAATATTACCAAAAATTATAAATCAAACACAATCGGCCTTCGTGAAGAATAGATACATTGGGGACCTCATAAGACTGGTAGAAAATACTATGCAATATAGGGATAATATGAAGATACCAGGTATTCTCATTTCAATCGATTTTGAAAAGGCATTTGATAGTCTGGATGGAGCTTCATGCTGGAAGCGTTAAAAGCCTTTACAAAATCTCCTTTAGCTGTTTTATGAACAAAGGTACATCTACCGAATATTTCTATCTGAGAAGAGGAGTTAGACAAGGGGATTGCATTTCTCCAGCATTGTTTATTCTGAGCTTAGAAATATTCTTGATTGCATTGCGTAGCAACAATTATATTAAGGGAATCAAAATTAATAACCAAGAAATCAAGAATGCAATCCTGCAAGATAGCATGTCCGCTAAAAATGTATTCACACTTTTAAACAAATCTAAAGATAATTCAGGGCTACAAATAAATTTTGAAAAATCAGAAGCCATGTGGCTTGGCAAACTGAAAAGGAGTAAACAAAAACCATTGAAGTTGAAATGACCTAAAGAACCAATAAAAAGAGTTAGAATCCATGTCTCTTATGACTATGTAAAAGCAAAAAACTTAAATAAAACTCGGGATTCTACATTGGCAGGTAGAATTCAGATAATCAAAACACTAGGAATTTCTAAAATGCAAGATTTATTAAGCATGGTGGAAGGAAATTAATAAAATTCTCTACGATTTTCTATGGAGAGGACCAGATCGGATAGCGAGACACACATTTATTGGCTGTAAAAAAAGGAGGGTTAAATAAGCCTGATATATATACATTTTGTATATATACAGTAAATATAGCAATTAGGATTGACTGGATAAGAAGGTACTGCGACCAGTCAATCAAACATCCATGATTCAGCTTTGGTTCGTGGACGTTTTATTGGTACGAGTTGTTTAAAATGCTGTGACGTGATGACGTGATGAAATTTGTCAAACAAACATATTAGTAAACTATGTGCCATTAATGTAAATTGTGTAATGCAACCTGTCCATCTGGAATCTGACAGAAATTTACCGAACCATGTGAGTGATGAGTGACAACACGATCTACGCCATTCATTAAATACAGACTCGAGTATCTTCTATCTATATATGCTATTACTGTAGGCCAACGATTAGGTAATGCGCAATTCTATGAAAGTGGCAATAATTATGGACATGTATAATTACGTAATTGTATTTTATAATACAAGACGTGCTAATTACGCTGATGGCTTTGGATTGAGAAAATACATGAAAATAATCTTGTATATATTTTATTAGTTGTTAACATCAAATGTTATGATAGTGAGTCGTGATCATTTCCGTGTTATCGCTAATTTCAAAAAGTGGAGGCAAACATTTCGGAAATCTGTCCCAACTATCGAACAAAAAATACGTGCAGTACTTCGAGATATAAGTACTGGGGTTTCCTTTCTGTAATTCTTCTATTTTTGAAAGATTCTTGCACGAGAGATATTTTGCGTGGAACTAACCAGTTTTGAAATGGCGGACTGACACACCCATTTGATAGTTCGGTGTTTGCAGTACCGGTGTCGCGTCATTTTGTGCATATTTAAGCCTGAGGCTATAACTTTGTAGCTAACTTGTTTTCGGTGTAGGCACAAATCCAATTTTCGTATTCGACCCAAGTGCCATCCATTTTGTAGAAAATATAAAACAAATGTGCTGTTATGCGGATGTGAATACCCCCTCCCGATTTTCAATTGGGTATTGAACTCATAAATCCCAAAAATAATGCCCAATCTGGACTATTCGTTTCCCCAGGTCCCTTGCCGACGTTTCAAAATAATAGGTTGTCACATGCACAGCCGTCTGTTCGTTCCTATCGAAGAATTATAGAAGGAGAGCTGAAGTCATACATACCTGTGAGTCTGTGCCGGGTCACTAGTATATGCTCTTGTATTTACATACACGTATGTTTAACCAACAGACAACTTGTGAAGGTACAGTGCTACAATGTGACAATACCAAAAGTAGTTGCTGGCCAATAAACGCGCGATGTTAGGATGTGTGCGAGATCGTGACAACTTTGTTTTATGTACGCTTTTGTACTGCTGGCGCCACTGTTCAGACGTCTTTCTATTGTACGATTTCATCGCGCAACAGGAAGAGGCTGTCACCACGATACTGTAATCTATGCACACACGCTAAAGAACACGTAAAGTTGTTAAGGACATTGCAATTTGATGAATGTTTCAATGTCGTTTTCAGTACAAATCATTTTAAAACCAGGGTAGATGAAAGTGTTGTGTTTTGGTCGCCACGTACTTATAATTCTGTCTGCTGTTATGAGGGCATTGCAATTTTTAATAAATGTTTCAATTTAATTTCATAAAGATAACGAAGAGCATACAAACATATTATGTACACTATTTAGCTTGCAACTACATAGAAGCCCACAAATCAATCTACTGGTTTCATAGAGTTGAATGCAACCAAATATTCTATTGCCATGTGTTAGTGTTTCCAGTCATAAACATGTAACAGAATATTCCATAAACAGTAAATTCGTCACTGTTCAAAATATCCTATATAGTTGGTGAGTGTTATGCCTGGAAGATACGGCATACGAATTGAATAACTAGGACCGACATAGTATGCAATACTGGGAGAAAGCCATGTTTATCACAAATGCATTATGGGTTACATCAAGTGACCTTTGACATAACAATGATGTAATATCTTAGACCGCCTCAATTTGTTATACACAAGTGATTATGACTTATCTACCTGCGTGTGTCCATTGCGTGCTTAACTGGTGCATGTTTGTAGATCATGATTTTTGAGACTGAATGTGCGAATCAATAATTGGCAATAAAAGGTGGCTTTACTGCACCAGTTGGAGTCTCACGTTGTAGTGGTTTATCGTCACTCTGATTTAAACATATGAATTTCTGGTTTCCATGATTCGATTAAGTCATGATTCGATTAAGTGAAACAAGGTCCAACCTTTGCCATGCATGAGCCTCGTTTTCAGTTTAGTGGTTGTAATCGTATAGAATCACCTATTACTAACCATTACTAATGGTCTGCTTTTGACTTCTGCCTTTTGATCATCATCAGCTGTAGGAATTCAATTAATGTTTAAATGCAGTGAATTCATCATTGGTATACTGTCAACCTTTGTCTGTCATCCTATCAGTGATTCCATGCAATGCGAAGTGAGACTTTGTCACATTGCCAGCTGTCGTCGTCTTCGAGGCGGTCTATCACAAAGTAGTCACTACGATAATCCTCATCATCCATGGTTTTCTTCATATATACACAAATAGATCTTGCCCAACTTTAGAACGCCAGTTTGTTAATCTCTAAAATTCCAGCATTCATAAATACAAACTGTGATTTTCCTCACATGCATCTGGCCATCTGGCCATGACTGTTCTCATGAGCATTTGTAATCGGGCATGGCGGAGGTACAAGATTTGACTTGTTCATGAGTTCTTTCAGATAAGTGCTTAAATTCTACCTGTTTGAAATAAGCTCTGGTCTTGTATACGTTGGATTATTTGGTATTCTTGAGTATTGTCTGTTTTATGCGCATGTGCTCTACTTAACACTCGACGTAACATGTCATCGACGTACATCCTGGTAAGTATATATACTTGTAGGTTGTACTTTTGCAGTGCTGAATGTAACGATTTTTGTAAAACCATAACCAATGGTTTATGGTCTAATTCTACAGTGATTTTATGACGATGACAATGCAAGCATTGGTTAAATCTGCAACAAGCAAAACAATGCGCTGGAGACAAATGCCACTAGCTGTCCATTTTCCATTAATGTAGCTTCTAACCCTGATTGATATGCATCACCCTGTATTTTGACCTGACCTGCCCACATAATCATATTTGAACACTGGTGAACAACTTTATGTCAGCATATGCTTCTGCTTGTTGCTTTCCAAGACGAACTCAGCATAGTGATCATATCTCTGACAGCTTTGATAAAAATCTGTATAGATAGTTAACACAACCTAACATGCGCTGAACTGCTTTCAGCTGAACTGCCATTTGTTGTGGACATGTTGACAATAATGGAGACTTTTTGTGGATCAGGTTTCAATTCTTCAAGTTGTCCCATGTATGTAACTTGTTCTTTTCTCTGCCTGAATTTCTTCATGTTGGACTACAGATTCACTTGTTACGCTCACTCTAATAATTGTATCATATTCTTATCATGGCCTCCTAGTGCTTCATCCATTATTTCACCAAAACCAAAACACAGAATAATACCCACTATTGCTTCTGTACCATCAAGTTCTGCAAGGACCTTATTGTGATGGCGTTGATATGCTTAGATAGTAAACTATCATGGTTCAATTTGACTTGAAAGAAGCTATCCTCACCATCCTAATAATGTGAGAATGTTTGCATCTGTAAGCTTTGGTAGCCATTGAATTTACTGTTGGCAACTGATATTTTGCTCGCTTAATAGCTTTAAGTCTCTTTGATCTATCCTCACGTTTAGCATGTCAGCTTTCTGCCCTGCTACCAATCAAATCTATTGTGGAACTTCAGCTTTGCCTCTCCATGTCATCATTTTTTTTATTTTCAGTTTGAACAGAACTGGTACACAACTTGGTGCTATACAGGTTGCACAGTAGGATTCATCGCTATGTGGTATTCATATCCTAATCTTGTGAAAACTTCACTGTGATATTTTTAAGGATAATCTGAAAGAAAATTCATTGAAATCATGAGTGTTATGTTGTTCGCTTTGTGATTCACTGCATCAATATGATTAAATATTAAACAGAATTGACTTATATGGCTTGCTGACATTTTTGCTTGGTTTCTTTATTTTCTCGAAAAATGATACGAAGTGATTGGTTTACCAAATTTGTTGCACGTTTTCTCAAACGCTTGACATTTTGTCTTGACTCTCACAGGACGTTCGCATAGCCGCCTGTCTCTAGTATTTGAATCATGAGTACCCATGACTGGTTTGTCTCTTATCAAACTTTCATTGAGGTTGTCAAACTTGCATGATCCCGATAGTTGACATAGTCGCATAACATACTGATCTACAATTTTATATATACACTAAATGGTTCTTTGGCATGAAATGATCTTCTAACTTTGTTGGATTATATAGTGGGACTATTCATAATGTTCACACAATAGGTGATTTTCCGAACAATTGCGAGATCTCGCGAGATGCATGAAAGACGCGCGTCGAACGTCTGCCGCAAAAATCGAACGATTTGATTTTGAACTAGAATTTCTTTATTTCGCAGCTTACATTGACCGGCCGATCTTCGACAGAGGAATATTGCTTCCGAATACCCTTACTTAATCGAAATTGCCTATCATCAAATGTGGACAGCACATTATTAAGCATGGAAATGTCCCCGAAATACTTTCGCGTTTGTCGAATCCCACGCGATGTTTGACGCAACTACGACGCTATGACCTTTGTTTGTCCTGTTTTTACGTTCGATTTCACGCATAACGCGTGATTCTCGCAGTGAACGAAAAATGGTCTATTCATACCCATAACACTACATAGTGGTCCAGCCTGTATTTGTTTGGATTTATCTCCCAATTGTAGAATATAAGTCAGCAACATTGAAATGCTTCTAGTTAAACACATCATCTATCATGGACTGTGGCTTGATACCATTACTATAAATAAATCAACTGCATGTGGAAAGTAAGACAGTTTGACAGTTGATATAGTGAATTGTTTATTGTATTTATTGGCCTTGCTATAATAGTTGACAATAATACTATCCTGTATGGTGTTACTTTTACTTAAATCGAGTTCAATCATATACATCTGTCTGGCTTCACTTTATTTCAAATATGGAAACTTCCTGTCCGACTCGTGGTTTTGCGCGAATTCCACAACACATCTATAGAAGATTTCATTCACCTGACACGTTCTGATGCTCACTGCTCTCAGATTCTGCCAATGGCGAGTTAAAGACTTTCTGGGACCATGTTATGCCTTGCAGGAACGGTATATTAATTAAATATATGGGACTGTCATGGCATGTGTTACTAGGAGAAATCCATGTGCTTGTAAAGCATGGTTGAGAATGATGTAATCTTAGAGTACCCTACTCTGAGAGATGCCAAGTGGAATGCCTGATTTTCTCTATAACACTTATAAGTGATAACATGGAAAAAAGTTTCCTTTTTATTGATAAAGAAGTTCAAAATGCTTTTCATATTTAAGATCACATGTCTTCTTTAAGATGGTTAGTGTATTTGTTAAATATACATTCAATTCTAAGTTAAACATTCTGTTATTCATATGTTCATGCCATGATTAGTACTTGTCAACAATGGAGCCTAATGCCATGTATTGAGATACATGGTATTGTATTAGTGATATAGCACCCTCAGTGACGAGGTCATTGGTTGATCCGACAGTTTATATACGTTAATTACTGGTTGACTGGGTGTAGACAGTAATACAATTTGAGTGAGTGTTTATTTGGTTAAATCCAGAACCATATGTTGACCAGATGTCCATGGGATGTGACATTGGCGACGAGAATCGGACTACAATA